TTCTAAAAATTGTTGAGTTGTACACTTAAAATCGGGAGCCCTGGTAGCATAGTACCTAAGGCACTTGACTGCTAACCAGAAGGCTAGCAGTTCAAACCCACCAGCCACTCCTCGGAAGGAAGGTTGGGCAATCTACTTCCATAGTGATACTGCTTCAGAAACCCAAGGAAGGTCATTATGAGTCAGGTCCGACTCTGTGGCACATAACAACAACAACAGCAACACTTAAAATCAGTGAGTTTTCAATGGCATACTATATAATCCTAAAGAATAATGTAGAATCTGCAAGACACCGTGTAACATGGATGAACTTGGAGGACATTATGCTGATTGCAGTAAGTCAATCACAGAAGGACAAATATCGTATTAGTCTGTTATTGTAAAAGTCAAGGAAAGGTTTATATATGGAAGGAAATTTTCTTTGTTAGTTACCAGGGGTGGGTAACACTGTTAGATCGATAGAGATAAGTATTGATTTGGGTGAAGAGAAGGGCAATGTACCAAATGTGAGTGATCAACATGGTGGCACTGAGGAACAGGAAGACATAGAGAGGTACATGGGACGTGCAGACAACAAAGATGAACCCTTTTGCACATATAGTACTGTGTTGTCAGTGAAGGCAAACATGGGTATATGGGTGGATAGATGGGTGGACAGGCTGAACTATTAGGTATGTCTGTGCAACAGGAAGTGTACCTAAGACCATGTATAGGGTTGGCAGACAGTGGTTCTACAAGTGTATTTGTATGTTCTGTAAGAATTCCCAGAGGTACAGTAGAGCTGATAAGGAACAAGGCTGTAGTCACTTCTTGGTCACAGCCAGCTAACCAGAGGGAGCGAGTAGTTGGACCTGTGGGCTTGGGATCATAGTTTCAGGGGACATCAAGCTCAATTGACATAACATACTACACAAAACATTGTTCCACCTCCTACTTTGGCGAGTAGCGACTGAGATCTTAAAAGCTTGCAAGCAAAAGGACAAATATTGTATTAGTCCGTTATTGTAAAAGTTAAGGAAATGTTTATATATTGGAGGACATTTTCTTTGTTGGTTACCAGGGGTGGGAGGGAAGGGGAGGGAATGCTGTTAGATAGATAGAGATAAATATTGATTTGGGTGAAGAGAAGGGCAATGTACCAAATGTGAGTGACCAATATGGCAGCATTGAGGATGAGAAAGACAGAGAGGGTTACATGGGCAGTACAAACAACAAATATGAACCCCTTTGTAAATACAATACTGAGTTGTTAATGAAAGCAAATATGGGTATAGGGACGGATAGATGGGTGAACAAGCTAAACAATTATGTATGTCTAAATGGAGAGTGTATCCAAGATCATATACAGGGTTGGCAGACAATGGGCCTCTCGAAGAGTATGAAGGAAGGGACACTGGGAGGAGGTAACTATGGGGAGGAAGTGGGAGGGGAGCTGCTGCATTGTAAATTTTGGTCAATGACATGAGACAAAGTATATGTGAACTGCTGTATGAAAAGTGAATTTACTCTGTAAATCTTCACCCAAATCCTAATAAAAAAAAAAAAAAGCTTGCAAGCAACTATCTAGATGTAACGATGGGTCTCTCCTTGTCCAGAGCAAAGAAGAATGAAGAAAACCAAAGATTCATGGAAACAATTAGTCCTCACGACTGGTACACCATGTGAGCCTCAGCCTATATGACTATGAGACCAGAAGAACTAGATGATGCCCCACTACCACTGTCAACCCTTCGGAGGGGGATCTATGTAGGAGATCCTGGGTAGAGAGGGAGAACAATGTGGAACAAAACTCAAAATCATTTGGGAAAAAAAAAAGGGGGGACCAGGTTTGCTGGTCTGATAGAGCTTGGTGGAACCACTGAGACTATGGTCCCTGGCTGCCCTTCAGGTCTGGAATTGAACCCACACCTGTGGCTTCCAGCCAAACAAAAGACAGGCATATGAGTTGAACATGTACCTGAGATAGATACACTCCTTGGAGAGAACAATCATGGGAGAAAAAAGGGCTGTTTATGCACAGGGAGACAGCTCAGGGGGCAGGAGTACATGGAGAGATGGACACAGGGGAGAAGGAGAGGAGCTGTTGCATTGGGGTAAATGTAGTCAATGTCATGGAACAATGTGTGTGTGAACTGCTGTATGGAAAGTGAATTTGCTATTTGCTCTATAAACTTTCACCCACATCACACACACACAAAATCAGTGAGTTTTTGTTTTGTTTTGTTTTGTTTTTTTTGTGATTTGCTCATATGCCTGTCGTTTGTTTGACTGGAAGCCACAGGTGTGGGTTCAGTTCCAGATCTGAAGGGCAGCTAGGGACCATAGTCTCAGTGGTTACCCTAGGCTCTATCAGACCAGCAAACCTTGTCTACCCCCCTTTTTTTTCCTCTCAAATGAAAAAATCAGTAAGTTTTATAATATGTAAATGTGGTACAGTGAATTACTTAGCATGGCTCTTCTCCCACCAGATGACTAGGTAGAACTATGTAAATGTGAGGTGCTTTGTGGCCCACCAAGGGCATTAGATAGCTTGTTAGTAATGTAAATAAGGTACATGGCACCCTTGTGGGGGTGGAACTATGGAAATAAGGTATATGGAATCCTAATGTAGGGATTGGTCAGTTTTGTCATTCTGCTAGGCTTAAAATGAGCCTTCCCAGAGGCAAAAAGGGGAATCTCACCACCATCAAGACTGATAAGAGCCAGGAGTGGAGTGTATCCTTGGAACCGAGATCCCTGCACAGAGAGATGGTAGAGAGATGGCAGCAGCAGAGGCAGCAGAATCAAGAGACCAGCAGGAGACAGAGCTGTAGACTTGCTGGCCCAGTGAGTCCTTTTGGTCAGGAGGCTTGCTGGTGGAGTGGGGTGTACCTATTGACAGAGCTAAGAGAGTTTTGTAACACTTGCCCCAGCAGGGCAGAGGCCAGGCCAAGAGGCCAAGGGCCAGAGAAAGGCATATCTGTGGGCATGGCTGAGGGGAGGCTGTCCTGATCAAAGAATTGTGTGCTGAGCATTCCTGAACTTGAACTGTAACCTGTTAATTCCCTAATAAACTCTACAATCATGAGTACTGTCAATGAGTTCTTTGTGGCCATTGGAACAAAATATTAAACCCAGCAGAGAAGTTAAGAGTGCCATGGGAAGGATGGTTGCTGTCAGAATTGGTTGGGGGATGGCAGCACATAGGACCTCCATTTCATAGGAGGACCATCCTAGCTTCAAACAAGCACTGGCTAACTTCTATCAGTTCTATCTCTTTATTAACATATCTCATCCCTATGAAGATACGGATATAAAAAAATGTTAATAAAGAGGTAGAATTGATAGAAGTTAGCCACTGATTGTTTGAAGCTAGGATGGTCACCCATCTGTTCAGTCAGGAATCTTAATACTAATACTGCATCTACATTTTTGTAAAAAGATGTCAACCCTACCTTTTACTTGTTAGATTTCAAAATATATGGATGTGCCCTAAACTGGCAGTAGAGAATATCTTTACTCTGGGTCCTTATCAGAAACCACATCCTCTAGTTCTCTGCCACCTAGCTCTTAGCAAATGCTTGGTTGTGAGAAAAGATATTTATGCAGGACTGCCTGTAGGCTATGCTTCCCATTCATTTCTGTAGACACTGTTATTGAGTGTCAGGTGCTGTGCTGGTAATGCAACAATGAATACCGCAGAGATAGTGACTGCCTTTATGGAGCTTGTAGTCTAGCAGGTGAGACAGATGTTACTTGCAGTTATGATAACTAGTGTATACATTGGCTTTATGCCATTATTTCACACTGGCATATATTATAAGAAACAGCTAAACAAGGTTCACATTAATTATTACAAAAATGTGGAAGATACAGTCTACACCACTGTATAGCGTCCCCTTTAGTAAGACCATAAGAACAATTTCTGTCTGATGACTGGTAGAATTTGCTGATGTTTTGGCCTTTCCTTTTACTCTGACGTACCCTGCTTCATCCTGCTTCAGAGACTCCATGTGTGGCATTCTCTCATCCTGGAATGCCCCATTCCGTTCATATTAGGTGTAACTGCTATGTCTTCTTCCACTATTCGTTCAAGTGTCACTTCTTCAGGGAAGCCTTCCCAACCTACGAGTATGGTTCCATTTCCAAACTAGGTCTAGTTCCTAATAGAGACTCACATAGCATTCTCTTCCTTTCTTTTGTACAGAATTAGTGTTTAGTTAAATAATTAGTTGTTTGGTAACTTCTTTTTCCTCCTAGACTGATGGCTGAGAGGTCCATGAGGGTAGAGGCCATGCTTTCCTTGTTTGCTACTATAACTCAAAGTCATAGTACAGAATCTTATACAAAATAAATGCCCAGTAAATATTTACTGAATGTTTGAATGAATGAATGGATTCTGCACACTGAATCTTATAACCATTTGCTTTCTCCTTTGTTCTTTGGCTGTCTGGAAGCTCAATCCCTCCTTGCCTTCTACCTGTATCATTTCTGTAGATCCTCTTGGCATGCATTTTGTGCACTGACATTCCCCTGACTGTGTAATATTTTCCCTTTCTCTGACTGCTTCATTTTTTTTTTTCACTATATACTATAAATTCTTATAGGACACTTTAAGTCTTTTTTGGAAGAAATGATAAATAATTGGATATGCGGGTAGAAAAAGAAAGGGAAAGGTCAAAGGGGGAATGTTACTGCCTTAATCAGATGCTGGAATGAAGGTTTTTTTTGCTTTGTTTTAATTTTATTTTTACTAGAAAAAAAAGTGAAATTTGCAGGAAATGCCTCTGAAGAACATGGGGCCTGTCCTTGCCCTGAGATATTCCTCCCACGGGCAAGAGGCAAGGGGTGCTGGGTTCGGCAGGGCCTTCTGGCCCAGAGGGTGGGTGGGTGGTGGCCTGTGTAGGCTCCCTGAACAGCTGAATGCTGTCCTGGGTTTGGGCAGAGTCAGTGGGGAGCTTATTTTTTTGGTTGGTTGGTTTGGGTTTGTTTTGTTTTGTTTTTTTCACTATAAGAAAGAGAAAGAAATGAACTTGTCCTCTTGTGTTGCAGATTCAGTGGTTCTTTCCTTTGACTCCGCTGGACAAACACTAGGCTCAGGTACCAATCCTTCCCCCTCTATCATCCTTTCAGCTCTCAATACTGGCCATTTTGAAGTGGAGCCTAATGGGGTGGGGTGTATCTGGGGAGGGCAATGGAATATCTCAGTATTGTGGGAAAAATCTCAAGAAGCCTTTCCATGACTCATGGCCTAGGCACCAGCAGTGGGATACAACAGCCAAAAACTTTCCCAGTTGCTTTAAAAGTATAGACTGAGAAGTTTGCAATAGATGCTCCTCCTCATTCAGAGTGGCCTAGGCTCATATAAAAGGATGTTTGTTTTCTTTGCATATATCCTGTCTCAGAGAGTGGGACATAGAGCACTGAGAGACCCCAAGCTCTGGGTATGCTGGAGTAGATAACCATCAGGACTCTCCAGCAGAATGCCAAGGCTGGTGAAAGCATCATAGTTACCCAAGGATGTACACTCAGAATTGCATATCTACACGTACACCTGCTGTACTCAAATACATACTCACTCCAGTTGAGAAGTACCAAGCTTTGCTGTGTACTCATGTCAAAATGCATGCAGGCAAATCCCTGTATGTTCTTCCCTGTGTCTATAGTTCAGGGCACACAAAATGGCACAATACACCCCTTAACACAGAATCACCCAAGCTCAAAGGAGCTTGCCTTTCCCAGGTTTGAGGCAGTCTACCCTTTGCATACCACTGTGCTTAATGGCAGTGAGCAGGAAGAGATCTTGTTTTGATTCTTCAATTTGTTGCCATTGGGTCCCTATGGGAGCCCCAGAATGATTTACTTTGAAAGAAGAGCATCCCTGTGCATCAAGCTTGTGATATTTAGATGAAGATGATGGGCCTTGCACCATGGAAGAATACCAGGGAGAGTTTGCAGGGTATTGAGGGCAGTTAATCTATTTTGCAGTTCTTGAAAGCAATAAATTGATATTTCACAAAGTAGCTATGAGGTTCTAGCAGTTGTGGCAGTGTGGATAAGAGGAAAGATGCTCAGAAAATATAATCATAGCTGCCACTATTTATTGAGTGCCTACTATGTGCCAACACTATGCTAGGTGCTTTACATATACCTTGGTTATCCCTTCAAATAGCTTTGCAAGATAGATAGTATATTTTTAATTATAGATAAAGAAACTAATGCTCAAAGAAGTGAAGTCACCTCTCCAGTTTCACTCATCTTTGACTCTAGACCCCATATATTCTCCATTGCCATCTTTGTGTCTCATATCTTGTATCTTTGAGTCATCCCCTACTGAAATGCTGAGGCAGAAGAACTCATTTTAAGATAGAGTGAACATCACAGGGGGATCTATGTAGAAGATCCTGGATAGAGTAGGAGAACAATGTGGAACAAAACTCAAAATCATTTTTTTTAAAAAAAGGACAAGGTTTGCTAGTCTGATAGAGCCTGGTGGAGCCCCTGAGACTGTGGTCCCTAGCTGCCCTTCAGGTCTGGAATCGAATCCATTCCTGTGGCTTCCAGCCGAACAAAAGACAGGCATGTGAGCTGAACATTTACATTAAGTAGATACACTCCTTGGAAAGATCAATCAGGGAAGAATAGAATGGCTGTGTATGCACAGGGAGATAGCTCGGCGGGCAGGAGTGCATGGGAGAGAAGGACACAGGGAAGAGGTAACTATGGGGAAGAAGTGGGAAGAGAGCTGTTGCATTGTGGGAAATTGCAGTCAATGTCATGAGACAAAGTGTATGTGAACTGCTATATGGAAAATGAATTTGCTCTGTAAACTTTCACCCAAATCACAATAAAAAAAAAAAAGTGAAGAAATAGAAAGAGTTCTTAAATAGACACAAAAATTTTGTCTTTTCATATAGGAGAAAACTGATCAATTTTAATATATTAAAGTTAAGAATTTCTATTAGTCAAAAGATACCATTAAGAAAGTGAAAAGGCAATCTAGAGTGAGAAGAGATATTTATAACACAAGTAATTGACCAAGAGCTTGTTTCCGGAATATATACAGAAGTACAAAAATCAACAAGAATAAAAGAAACAATCTAGTACAGAAATGAGCAAAAGACTTGCACAGGTACTTCACAAAAGAGGAAATCTAAAGAGCCAGTAAAGTTGTTTAAAAAAAATTTTTTTTATTATGTTAGTATCTAGAGACGTACAAATTAGAATCACATCTAATATTCATCTACCAGTGTTGGTGAGGATGTAATGCAGTGGAAACTCGCATCTCTACTGATTTGGAAAAACCTGTGGAAATTTCTAGCTAAATTTGAGTATATATATACTCCATGACCCAGCACTTCCCCTTCTGGGAATATTTCCTACAGCAATAGATGCTTATACATACACTAGGCTACATGAGCTTTGTTGGTGTAGTAGTTGAAGTGCTCAGCTGTTAACCAAAAGTTTGATGGTTCAAATCCAAAAGCCTCTCAGTGGGAGAAAGATGTGATGGTCTGTTTTTGTAAAGATTTACAGCCCTAAGGGAGAGGAGGAAACACTGCAAAAAATAAAATAAAATAAAGATTTACAGCCTTGGAAACCCTGTGTAGCAGTTCTATTGTGTCCTACAGGATTGCTGTGAGTTGGACTCAGCTTGATGTCAATGGGTTTGGTTTTGAGGTTTATATGTGTAAGATACATGCATAAGAATGTTCACAATCCAAAAATAATCCAGTTACCTAACAACAGTAGAATGGATATACAAACTGTGTTATATTTATATAATTAATATGAGACAATGGTAAAATTGAGCGAAATACAGATAGATTCAACAACATGAATGAATTTTAAAAACATATTCAGTGAAAGAAGTCAGACAAAACAATATTTACTGTGTATTCCATTCATATAAAGTTCAAAAACAAGGAAAATTAAATTATATTTGTTTAGATATATAATTCCAGAAAGAGTCACTGCTGTTGAGTCAGATCCGACTCATAGCGACCCCTCCTTGGGTTTCTGAGGCAGTATCACTACAGAAGTAGATTGCCCAACCTTCCTTTCAAGGAGTGGCTCGTGGGTTTGAACTTCCAGCCTTCTGGTTAGCAGTCAAATGCCTTAAGCATTACATAACCAGAGCTTCTGCTAGATATAATTAGATATTAAAATGGTAAAGAAAAGCAAGGAAATAAATTCCACAATAGAATGATTGAGTTCAGTGAGCAGGAGTAAGGGATATGACTGAAATGAGCAAGTGGGGTGCTTTTGGTGGTGGTAGTGACCATGGTAGCAGTGGGACTTGCAAACACCTAATACTCTCAGGGAGGGAAACCTTCCTTTCTGACTGAAGGACCTGTAGTCCCAACAAGTTGGGGTGAAATAGAGTTGCCTTTTTTTTCCTCTCTGCCTTCTTTGTTCTGGATGTGGGCACAGTGTGTGAAATGCATGCCAGAATGCAGTAACTAAAACCCTAGTTTTTTGACCAGAGGATCAAGAGGGAAAGGCCCAAGGTACCAGAAAGTATAGGGGAGAAAGCAGAGAGGATTGCTTAGGAAAATGGCCTCATAAAGCTGTTTATGAACTTCTAGGCTAACTCCTAAGCTGTGCATGTTGGCATCAGACTTTAAAGAACATACTAAAGATTTTTGAGAACTGAATTAAGGGATAGACCACCACCCAGTTCCCAGATTGGACACTGGGTGGAGCACACACAGGACATATCTGAGTAGCACTGCAAAGGCTTTGAGAGTGACATTGATAATGAAACCACAATCCATAGAAGGCCGGTCAGAATTTGCTGCCTGAAACAAATCTTGTTGATGGCTTGCTAAGACAAAAATATCAGCAGTTTCCACAGGAGTTAAATAAGAAGGAGTTCTGGTGGTGCAGTGCCTAAGGCATTTGACTGCTAACCAAAAGGTTGGTGGTTCATATCCACTAACCACCCTGCAGAAGGAAGACAGGGCAATATACTTATATAAAGTTTTGCCACTTTGGGAACCCAGTGGGGGTTGCTATGAGTCAGAATAGACTTGATAACAGTGGGTTGGACTTTTTGGTTTTGGTGTAGTCTCATAGCATTATATTCAAGATGCTCAGGATACAATTCAAAATCAATCATCATATGAAGAATCAGGACAGTGTCACCTTGCACAGGAAAAGACAATCAGCAGATTCTAACAATTAGATGGCACACAGGTTGAAATAATTTGACAAAGACTTTAAAGCAGCGATTACAAAAATTCTCCAGCTAGTAAGAACAAATACTCTTGAAACAAATGGAAAAATAGAAAGTCTCAGCTATAATAATTGTCATATTTAATGTTGAAATGTTAAAGTATTACCTTTAAAATCTAAAATAAGACTAGATTGTCTACTAAGAGCACTTCAATGTAACATCTTGCTGTAGATCTTGGCCAGCTCTGTAGGACAAGCAAAAGAAGGAAAAGTTACAAGGATTGGAGAAGAAAAAAGGAAACTGCCATTATTTGCTGATAAGACAGTATACATAGAAGACCGACAAGAAACTGTAAAATAATTATTAGAATTAATGAGAGTTTAGCCAGAATGTTGGGTATAGAAATCAATAGATAAATATCAGTTACATTTCTATACAAGAGCAACAAACAGTAGTAAAATGCATATTAAAAAAAAACAAACAACTCACGCTGTTGAGCTGATTTAATAGCATAAAAAACATATAAAGTACCTTGAAATACATCTAATTAAAGATGTACAATTACAGAAAAATTATAAAACCACTTGTTGTTGTTGTTGTTGTTATGTGCCGTCAAGTCAAACCTGACTCATAGCGACCCCTCCTTGGGTTTCCGAGGCAGTATCACTACGGAAGTAGGATTGCCCAACCTTCCTTCCGAGGAGTGGCTGGTGGGTTTGAACCGCCAGCCGTCTGGTTAGCAGGCAAGTGTCTTAGCCACTATGCTACCAGAGCTCCCATAAAACCACTTAGAAGTTCTAAATCAGTTTTCTTTTTCCAAATTATTATATTTATTTGAAATAGTTAAATATTAGACTGGACTTTCTTGGGTATTTACATATAAAAGTACCCATAGCAGCATTGCTTATAATTGCCCCAAATT